TAGGGTAGTCACTCTGGCTGAGGTCGGCGGGTTGACCAACAACCTGATTCTGGCCTACCTCAACCGGTTGGGAGACCTGCTGTTCGTCCTGGCTCGTTACCACGATCGGGAGATCCCCATCGAACGGGCCACCGGCGAGCGTGTCTGATAGCACGATGGCTGAGGACCCGCCCCGCGAACCCCGAATCGTCGTAATTGACTACGATTCCGGCAACTTAAGAAGCGTCGCCCGAGCCGTCGAGAAAGCCGGCGTCGTTCCGTGTGTGACGTCAGACCCGGCGCGAGTCGCTTCCGCAGACGCCGTCGTACTGCCCGGCGTTGGTTCCGGGCCGGCGGCAATGTCAGCGCTTCGTTCACGCGGCCTGGTGCAACCTCTGCTGGAATACATCGCCAGTGGACGGCCGTTTTTGGGTGTTTGCCTCGGTTTGCAGCTCCTATTGGATGCTACCGACGAGGGCGATGCCGATTGCATCGGCCTCGTTCCAGGACGGGTGAGACGCCTGCCGGAAGGCCGCAAAGTACCCCACATGGGTTGGAACACCGTCCACTTTCAGTCGGATCACCCATTGTGGGCCGGCATCCCCCAGGACAGTCATTTCTACTTCGTGCACAGTTATTATGCCGACCCAACGCACCGCGACCACGTGGCCGGGCTCACCGACTACGGCGTGGAATTTTGCAGTATATACGCCCGCGACAATGTGGTAGCAACCCAATTCCACCCCGAAAAGAGCGGCGAAAACGGGCTGCGAATTTACGCCAACTTCGTCGATCAGATCACTGGCACGGTCGCATAGCGGCGCAGGTCGCAGCCCCCATGGAAATCATTCCGGCAATAGACTTACGAGGCGGCAATTGCGTTCGTTTGTATCAGGGCGATTACGCGCAGGAGACCGTATTTTCCGACAACCCCCTGGAGGTGGCTGAGCGATGGCAATCGGAAGGTGGACAGCGCCTCCACATCGTGGATCTTGACGGAGCCTACAGCGGCAACCCGGCTAATCTCGCCGCAATCTCGGGCATCACGCGCACGCTCACTATTCCGGTGCAGGTTGGCGGCGGCATCCGCAGCATAGATACAGCTTCCGGTTTGTTCGATGCGGGAGCGGCTCGCGTCGTTGTCGGGACTGCTGCCGTGTCCAACCCTGACCTGGTTGAGGAATTATGCCGTCGGTTCGGCAGTCACCGAGTGGTGGTCGCCCTCGACGCCAGGGATGGTTTGGTCGCCATCCGCGGTTGGACCGAAACGTCGGAAATTACCGCCATCGAATTGTCCGCGCGCATGGCGGAGCTGGGTGTCGTGCGTGTGCTTTATACCGACATTTCGCGCGATGGAACCCTGGAAGAACCCAATTACTCAGCAACCGCGGCCCTCGCCCAAACCAGCGGACTCAGCGTTCTGTCAGCCGGTGGTGTTGGCGCTCCGGACCATGTGTCGAAATTGGTGCCCACCGGGGCCGAGGCCGCGATCATAGGTAGGGCCCTATACACCGGAGACATCACCATTTCAGAGGCGATAATCGCAGCTAACGGTTGATCCCCACCGATGGCTGGATATTCCGGACAGCGGATTACGCCAACGGACCCGCGGCGACAGCGTCATCGTCGCCGACCAGCAACCCGCCTCGTTGATCCAGATACTGCTGCCTGAGCGCCAACCGCTCACTCGACGTTGCGTCCCAATCGTCCCTATATACTTCCATCAGGATGAAATTGTGGGACATCCGCCGCACCTCGCGTACCGGATTGAATCCGGATCGTTCAAAGCATTTTTGCGCGCGGTGATTCCAATCCAGCGTGTGCAGATAAACTCGTTTCAACCTCAAATCGTCAAACATATGATGCAGCAGCGTAACCACCGCATCGTACCCATACCCGCCACTCCAGTAATCTCGGTCTCCAATTACGATGCCCAATTCAGCTTCTTTCGAAAGGCTGTCGAGGTCGTAATACATGCAGTTGCCGATAAACTTTCCGCCGGCCACCTCAATGGCGAAATGATGAGAACCTGGGGTGGGCCAACGGATCTGGTCTTCAAAGAGTTTCAGGTATCGCTCGTATTTCATTGTGAGAGGATACGCGGCGTCCAGACGGGCGATTTCCGGATCACTGCGCCAGATGTAATCCAACTCAGCATCCTGAACGCGTTTGCCACGCAGCAGCACGCGCACTCCTCTCAGAACGATGGTCCGATCCATGGTCATTCGCCATCCCGATAGGAGGCGATCAATGATCGCGCTGCTTCCAGAACGCTGCGCTCATTGTCGTATTCGAGCAGCTGCAGCGCGCGGTCGTAGGCTTGCCATTCGACCACGTCGAATTCGGCGTCATGATCGGCGGTATTGCCCCCAAGCGGTTCCATCAGATAAAAATGGACCGTCTTATCATAGCGAACTCCGTCATCGTGGCCCACGAAGTAGTACTGGATACTGGTGATGGGAGCAATCAGATTCACGCGCACGCCGGTTTCTTCCTGCACCTCACGGCGGGCCGTCTCCTCCACACTTTCGCCCGGCTCGGGCGTTCCTTTAGGCAAACGCCAGCTTAAGGGAGCATCCGGACCCTGGCGACCCGGCCGAGTCCTGGCGCAAAGCAACGTTTCGATGCCATCGTCCGCCTCCCGAAAGACCAGCCCACCAGCCGAAATTGCTTTCGCTACAGCCTCGCTAACGGGTATCTCGCCCGCAACCTGCACTGTGACCGGAAAAGCAAACTCTTCTTCGGGTGCCTGGGGATTGTCACTTGGCAATGCCGTAGAACTCATCACAAATCTAAATTTTGGCGGCTGATATTGGAGGTAATTGTATCTGCCCCCGCGGTACGGGTCAATCTGCGCCACCGGTCGTAGCAGTTCAGACTCGACGGGTTGCTTCCATCCCACCCCGTCATTCCGGCCCTGAGCCGGAATCCAGAGACGTCTTTACAACACAATGTTGCTTATCCCAGGCTTCCTGGATTCCCGCGAAAGCGGGAATGACAGGTTGGGGCGAGGATACTACCTTCAACTCTGAACAGTTGCCACCGGTCGCCCGATGCCCGCGCTCGTACCGGGTGGATGCGGCTCCGCACGATACCCCGCCAAAAGGCTAAATGCCGCCTCCAATCGCGGGGACGAAATGAATCTCCGTATCTTGGCCGACCCGCTCCAATAAGCCCATCCGAGCCACTTCCCCATCCACTGCCACCGCCAAATTCGGGCGAATCTCATCGTCTTCCATCAGGCGATCAGCGATGCCAGGAAACAGTTGGTCCAGCTGTTCAATTACCTGGCGTACGTTCCGGGCGTTGACGTCCACCTCTTTTACTCCGCCGGTGGTGGCTTGCAACATCGTGGGAACGAATACTTTTGCCACGAAACACCTCCAGTCATGCCGATAAATCGCCGGGCCTGTTTCAAGATTATGATAACCCACCGTGTCCTACCCGTGGGTAAGCGCGCCCTACGTCATCTCCACCGGTGCGATCAGCACGGCGCTTTATCAGCGATACCTTCTGCTACTTGCAACTCGCGGACATAGCAGATGATTTGATCCAATTGCTCCGGTGCAACCGTCACAATAGCTGCCATGTCTCCAAACGTCCAATGATGCGACCGGACTCCGGATTGAACCGCGGAACGGATCGAATTATCCGAGTGGTGGCCAGGCTCGTAGATGGGATGCACTAATGGCGGCCCGATTGCGGTCCCGGTACCTCGTGCTCCGTGGCAGACCATGCAATTCGCTTCAAAGAGCTTTTCACCTTCCCGCGCCGCGGCGGAAAGATCTTTCGCCGATGTGCCTGGCGCCGTTTCCACCGGATCAGCCACCACGATTTCTTCGTTTGCCGTTCCGCAACTGGCGGCAAGAATCGCCCAAGCGACCCCACTTCCAAAGAGCAGCAGGCCTGGGCGCACGATCTTCCAGTTAGGTATTCCCATCGTCACATCCTTCACGACCGATGGATCACGACTGCAACCCGTCTGGTTGGGCCGTGCAACCCGAGCCCGCAGTTTTTGTTCCGACGCCGGTTACTCCCCGTTCCAGTCGGCTTCCAGGACACTCCCCGGCGTAATGGGGAGACTCGTCATTCGCTTGCCAGTGGCGCCAGCAATCGCGCTGGCAATCGCCGGCAATGGAGGGACGATTGGCACCTCGCCGACGCCGCGAACGCCGTAGGGATGGCCCGGATTGGGCTACCTCTACGATCACGGTGTCAATCATCGGCAGGTCCAATGCCGTGGGCATTCGATAATCCAGGAAACTGGAGTTCACCATCTGACCGCTGTCGTTGAAGAAATATTCCTCATTAAGCGCCCAGCCAATCCCCTGCACAGCGCCACCCTGGATTTGTCCTTCCACGTAACTGGGATGCACGGCTTTGCCGGCGTCCTGGATGGCCGTGTAGCGGAGAATGGTTGTTTTGCCGGTCTCCGGATCAACCTCCACATCCACCAGGTGAACGGCGAATGAATTGCCCTCCCCGGTGGGGTCGAGGCTGGCCGTGCCCGTGATGCCGCCGCCCGTCGCGTACAACTGACGCGCCAATTCACGGAAAGTGAAACTCAACTCCTGGGACTTGTGCCGGATGGTTCCCCGGTCATACTCGACCTCGTCGGCCGGGACGTCCCAAATTGACGCTGCCCGCTCGACCATTTGCTGCATGACATCTTCCGCCGCGAGGATGGCAGCCCAGCCGGTGGCGAATGTGGTCCTACTACCGCCGGTGACCATGGTGAACCCAATCGAATCCGTATCGACCACCTGCGGCTTGATGTCGTCATAACCGATGCCCAGTGTTTCGGCAGCCTGTTGAGCGATGGATGCCCGGGAACCGCCGATGTCCACCGATCCCTCGATCAGGTTGACGGTGCCGTCGGGATTGACCGTCATATTAACACTTGAATGGAATCCCCGGTTCATCCAAAAACCGGCCGCAACACCGCGTCCGCGATTGGGCCCCTCCAGCGGGGATTGATAGTGGTCGTGATTACGCGCGGCTTCCAGACATTCAACCAGTCCGATCCGCTGAAACACCGGCCCTTCCACCTTGCGAGTACCTTCGACCGAAGCGTTGTTGAGGCGGAACGCGATCGGGTCCATGCCAAGTTCAACACACAACTCGTCTACGACCTGCTCAACACCAAAGGCAGCCTGTGGCGAACCCGGAGCGCGATAGGCAGCGGTCTTGGGTTTGTTGACCATCACGTCGTAGCCTTCTACCAATGCATTCTCCAGGTTGTAACAGGCTAAGCCGCACGTGGCCCCCTGCATCACCGGGGAGCCCGGATACGCCCCGGCTTCAAATGCCAGTTCGAATTCGGCGGCCGTTATCTTCCCCTCTTTGGTCGCTCCCATTTTGACCCGCATCCAACTGCCGGGCGCCGGGCCACTTCCCTCAAAAACTTCGGTTCGGCTCATCAGAATCTTAACCGGGGCACCGGCTTTGCGGGACAGCAATGCAGCCACCGGTTCAATATAGAACGAAACCTTTCCTCCAAAACCGCCGCCAATCTCCATGGGCGTAACCCGCACGTTAGAAATATCCACCCGCAAAACATCGGCGGTGTTGGCACGCACGACGAACGCCCCTTGCGTGCTGCACCAGATGTTGATTTGCCCGTCCGGCCGCCAGTGGGCGGTGGCGTTGTGTGGCTCAATGTAGCCCTGGTGTACCGAGGCGGTCGTGAATTCCCGTTCTACAATGGCGTCGGAATTGGCGAACCCCGACGCAACGTCGCCCTTTTCAATTTTCATGTAAGACGCAACGTTACTCGGCTGATCGGACATATCGCCCATCGCGGAAGTGTGGATCAGGTCGTCATGGAGTAACGGCGACCCTTCAAGCATCGCATCGCGCACATCCAAAACCGGTTGCAGAACTTCATACTCGACGTCGATCAACTCCAGGGCCGCCTCGGCGATGTGGGCGTTGTCGGCGGCCACTGCGGCCACTGGGTGACCTCGATACAACACCTTGTCACTGGCCAGGAAATTATCGCTCAGGAACTTGAAACGGTTGTAATCGTTCCCCAGTTCAGCTTTACTCAGCCCGGCGAACGGCAGATCGGTTGCAGTAACAACTGCCCGCACTCCAGCCAGCGCCAGGGCTTTGCTCACGTCTATAGAATTGATACGGGCGTGGGCGTGGGGGCTGCGCAACACTCGCCCTTGAAGCAGGCCGGCAAGGTTCAGATCCGCGCCATACTGCGCACGACCCGTGACTTTGTCCACACCATCCGGTCGCACCGGACGTTTGCCAACTACGTCATATTCGGTTTCCGATAAAACCAGGTTGGAGGACGTCATTTTAATTCACCTCAGTTCGTAATAGTTGCAAACGCGACTGTCGTGAATGACACGCGATGCCGTTGAAATGACTGGAACCGGGGCAACCAGGGGCGCTCCGGTTCCACAAACGATGTCGGTTACAGTGAACCGGAATCGACTAGGCTTTCATTCGTTCTCCGGCATCCATAACGGCCCGGATAATCTTGTCATAACCGGTGCATCGGCACAGATTACCCGCCAACCAGTGGCGAATACGCGCCTCGTCCGCGTCCGGTTCGGCTTCCAGCAGCGCCTTGGCGGCCACAATGAAACCTGGTGTGCAGATGCCACACTGCAGCGCAGCGTTTTCCAGGAACGACTGCTGCACCGGATGCAATCCGTCTGCTGTGGCAACGCCTTCGATGGTGTTTACTTCGGCGCCCTGTGCTTCAACACCCAAAACCAGGCAGGATGTAACGATACGACCGTCGAACTGGACGGTGCACGCGCCACAGTTGCCATCGTTACAACCCTCTTTTGTACCGGTCATGCCCACGATATCTCGCAGACATTCCAGCAGACTTTGCCTAGGCTCACACAGGAAGTCGGCCTGGTTTCCGTTTATGGTGGTAGTTACATGGACAAGTCCGGGCATGTTATTCCTCCCCTCGAGCGCGCCGGATGGCAATATTCAATGTGCGGCGGGTCAAAACGTCCACCAAATGGTGCCGCTGTCGAATCGTGCCTCTCATATCGGTAATAGGCGTTGCGGCTTCGCTGGCCAATCGACCGGCCTCGGCAATCGCGTCGTCAGACACTGCCTTGCCAGCCAGGCTATCGCCCGCTGCTGTCGCCAGAATCGGGGTCGGTCCCACCGACGCCAACGCTATGCGCGCTGACTGAATATTTTGGCCGGACGCGTCCAGAACCACCGTGGACGACACGCCAGCGACCGCGATATCCATCTCATTACGGGGAATGAATCGCAGGTATGCGGTGCCCGAATTCGCCGCCGGCGCCGGGATCTGAATTGCTACCAGCAACTCGCCTGGTTCCAGGGCGCTTCGACCCGGTCCGGTGCAGAAATTCTCGGTCGGAACCGTGCGCCACCCGTTGGGGCCGTTGATGTGGGCTTCGCCGCCCAGCGTGATAATCGGAGGGATGCTGTCGCCCGACGGAGCTGCGTTGCACAGGTTTCCGCCGATGGATGCGCGACCCTGAATCTGTATGCTGCCGATGAGACTGGCAGCGTCAATCAACCCGGGATAGGCAGCGACAACTGCCTGGTCGTCATATATTTGGGTACAGGCAACGGCAGCTCCGAGTTGCAAACCATTGTCATCCAAACGGATTCCATTTAATTCGGGGATCTTCTTGGTATCAACGAGAACGTCGGCTTCACGCCGACCGCTTCGCAACTGAACCAGCACATCGGTACCGCCGGCCAATGGGCGGGCGCGGTCACCGTGGGCCGCCATAATGGAAACGGCTTCACTAAGGGATGTAGGGGCAGTGTAATCAATAGCTCGCATAGGCACCTCCGGCGGTGATTATATCAATGAATGGCGGGACTGTCAGCACGGCATCGCCAGCCTCGGCACTTCCCGACGTGGCTTCGTTGCTGCCGGCAGTTGTTTAATCAACGCCGAGCATCATACCGCACACGGGCAGTTTGCGCCAATGGTTCCAGCCCACCAACAGCGTCCCGCTGGCGTGGTCCCCACCCGGACTAATCGCGCAATCTTGATTCCAGCGCAACGCGCACCGACGGCCACTCTGAATCGATGATGCTGTAGAACACGGAATGCCGGTTTATTCCGTCCCAGGTAATGCGATGATTTCGCCAAGTACCCTCCCGGACTGCCCCGATGCGTTCAATGGCCCTTTGAGATCGCTCGTTGCGACTGTCTGTTTTCAGGCAAACGCGCAACGCTCCCAGATCCTCAAAAGCGTGCCGCAGCAACAGATACTTGCATTCGGTGTTTACTCCAGTGCGTTGATAGGCGAGTCCATACCAGGTCATTCCGATTTCCAGGGCGCGGTTGGGCCGGTCGATATCCAGGTACCCGGTCGAACCGATTGCCTTACCTTCGGCGGACAGGATCACCGCAAATTGCACCCGCTCTCCGGAATTGTTGCGTTCCACACACATGTCCACCCACCCTCTGGCATCATCCAAACTTCGGTAGGCGGGTCGGGGCAGAAACCGCCAGATAGATTCGTCGGCTCCCACGGCATACAGGTCCCCGGCGTGTTGCGGCCCCACTGGTTCAAGGCGCACGTGAAAACCCAACAGCGTGACGGGTTTCGGATCGAATGTCGGCTGCTTCGGTTCGGTCACGGTTCTGCTCTCCTGCCTTTCAGTTGTCAATCGCTGTCGCCCGTGGCTGGGGCAACCTCGGTGTCTAGGGCCTGTCCCCCCAGCCATCGGCGCTGTGCGCTCACCGGGAGCGATGGCCGCGTGCACAGCAAAAACGCCAGGGCGCTAATCAGGAACATGGGCGTGAACGTCGCCAGCACGATGTAGTAACTATCGGTTGCTTCCCACACGAACGAGGCAAACATCGGCGCAGCAAACAGTCCGATATTCATGAAAAGGCTCATGAATCCCATCAGCGTCGCGAAACGAGCTCTCCCGTAGTAGTCGCTCAGCATCAACCAATTGACAGAGGTGATGCCTTCCACGACGGCGATTCCCACCACGAAGGTCAACAATCCGTATACTCCAGGGCCGATCCACAGGCCCCACATCCCTACCGCGCCGATCGCCATCCCGATGGCCAGCAAAATATTCCCCGGGAACCTCCCGGCGGTTACGCCGAGGACATAGCGGAGTGGAATCCCAAGAAAGAACATGGCGGCCACCCAGGCCGACGCTTCATCTTCCGACACGTTGCGTTCCAGCATCATGGGGAATATATGGACCAGCATTCCATTCGTAGCCGATACCCGCATGAAAGCGCCAATTGACATGAGCCAAAACGTGCGAGTAACGATGGCCTGCCGGAATGTAAAACTTAACTCTGCACCTCCGGACCCACGTCTCTGAACCGGGTTTCCATCCGACGTTTCGCTTTCGGTTGTGTCACCATCGGGTCGCAGGCCCATGTCCTCCGGCCGGCTCCTGATAACTAAAGATACCGGCAGCGTAATCGCCAGTATCCCGACGCCGGTCCAGATCAAAGTTTGACGCCAGCCCAGCCATTGAATCCCCTCGTTCAGTAGGGGCACTACTATGGCTCCACCGCCAGCAAACGCCGTCATCAAAGCAGACAGGGCAACATGCCGGCGCCGTATGAACCACTGGTTCACGCAGGCCATCAGCGTTTGACCCAACCCCGCCGATTTGCCCAGGGAAATCACGCCGCCAAACAACACCAGCAGCGCCCAGTAGGAATGTACTTGGGAGAGCACTATGACCCCAACGCCTACCGTGATACTTCCGACGATGACCAGTGGGCGGGCTCCATACCGATCCGCCAGCCACCCGACAGCCGGGCCAGCCACACTCCCTTCAGCCCGCGCCAGGCTGAACACCAGTCCCATCTGGCTGCGGGTCAAACCGAGGGAGGATTCTATCGGCAAGAGGAACCGGGGAAAACCCTGGGAGATGGACCCGTTGCCGAACATACCCAATATAGAGGCAGCGGCGACCACCCACCATCCGTAAAAAATTTTGGGTCGCCGCCGCTCGCCATCAACGTTTTCGTCTTTCACAACTGAGGATTATAAGCATTGGCTTCTTCGTCGGTCAAACCTGGAATCCTCTTGACATACTGAACGGAGTGAAATACCGTTGCCCCATCAATCGCCGTTTTAAGGAGGCACTCTCATGCCGCAAATCGCCGGCCTTGGGCACGTTGGGATCTATGCAACCGATCTGATGAAGATGCGTGATTTTTACACTCGCGTAATGGGCTTGCAGATCGCGGACGAAGACCTTGAGCAGCGCCGTATGGTGTTCCTCAGCTCTGACCCGGTGGGCGAACATCACGAATTCGTCCTGATGGAAGGGCGGGTAACGACTGATGACGCCAAGGTCATTCAACAAATCTCCTTCCGTGTGCCATCCATACAGGACATGCGCGATTACAAAGCCCGCATCGACGCTGAAAGCGTGACCATTGACCGCATTGTCAGCCACGGCAACGCATTCGGCATGTATTTCTTCGACCCCGAGGGTAACCGGATTGAGTTGTACTACAAGACGGGTTTCCCAGTACCACAACCCCACGGCGACCCTCTGGACCTGGAACGTTCCGACGACGAATTACTTTCCGAAGCAATGGAGTTGTTGCACACAAATCGTTAATTCCCGCGCAATTAATTGTCACCGCCGTCGTGGGGCCAATGTCCGGCGACGGCGGTGTCATTGTTTCTAACTTCAATCGGATGCGTGTGCTACCGACAACATGGCGTCTCCCAACGATTCACACTCCATCGACGGCCGTGCCGCCCAGTCTGCGTTGTCTGAGGCGCCTACCGGCGGCGGCCCGGTAGCCTACGACGATCTGCCGCCCCGCTACCATCGCTGGAAGTGGCAGGTACTCATCGCGTTCTGTGTGTTTTACCTCTTTCTGTACACGGGACGCTTTAATTTCTGGCCCACGTCGCCACTGATCAAGGAGGCATTGGACCTAAGTCACATCGAAATTGGCATCATCAACGCCATGCTCCTGTGGGGCTTCATGGTGGGAGACCTGGTACACGGGCGCCTTGCCGAAGCCTACGGACTGCGCCTGTGGGTAGCCGTGGGAGCCGTTTTGACCACGGTATTCAACTGGACTGCATCCTTCGGAACTTCAACCTTTGGCTTCGCGATCCCATGGTTCTTCGCGGGCTTTGTCAACGCCGCATGTTGGGCGCCTGCCATCAGCCTTATCAGCCAGTGGTGGCCTCGCCGGGAACGCGGCATCGCAATGGGAATAATCGGCACCACGACTGGTGGCGCCATGCTCGTTATGTGGTGGCTCAGCAGCTTCGTGGCGGCTCGATGGGGCTGGCAAGCCGCTTTCCGTTACCCACCACTAATCATCCTGGTGCTTGGTATAGCCTTCTATTTCGTCGCGAGGGACCGCCCGCGTGACGTCAACCTCCCTGAGTACATTGAGGAAGACGAGATATCCGCCGAACCGGAGTCGGTAACCGACGAACAATTGAAAGGGCTGGGGCCCTATAAACTGCTCCTCACCAACTCCAGGTTTCAACTGGCCTGCCACGTCAAAGGATTGGAAAACGTCACCCGTTACGGTCTCACTACGTGGGTTCCCATCTACTACTCGGAAGCCGGCAACTTCGACATAACCGAAACCATATTGGTCACGGTGCTGCTTCCCCTGGGGTATCTGATCGCTCCACCCGTGGCCGGCTTCGTGTCAGACCGTTTTCTCAACAGCAGCCGACGCCCCCTGGTCATCGCGTCCTGCGGATTCTCCGCGGCAGCGTTGGTGGCAATCGCGCTGGCTCCTCCCAACAACGCATATCTTGGCGCCGCCCTCATGTTGTGGGGAGGAATCAGCATGGGCGTTTCCACCATTTCCGCCATAGCGGTTGATCTATCCGGTCGCAAAATGTCCGGCACCGCCGCTGGCGTGTTGGACGCTCACGGATACCTCTATGCTGGCGCGCAGGCTATTCTATTCAGCGTTGTACTGAATGTATCCGGCAGTCCGTGGCCCATAGTGTTCTTCGGCCGACTGCATTTACCCAGGATCGGACTGTCGATGGCATGATCGTGCGCAGTACGGTGGACACGCGTCTTATTATCCCGATTCGCCACTTTCGCCTGTGCGCTCGGTGCTGTGTGACGCCTTCTGACATTTCACTGCCGAATTCTCTACGGCATTCCGTGCCTCTCTTACCGTGGTTGGGCGTAGTCATAGTCGCCCCGTTTGCCTGCAAAACGTCCATCCTCCATCCTCGGCTGGGGAGAGAATGCGAGATAACGTATGTACTCGTCGTCACTTGTAGCAGTACGGTAGTTTCGCGCGTGGGTGGGTAGCTGCGCTGGGTATAACGCGCTTCGACGTGACGTGACTCGCGTTTGGTCGCTTCTCAGCCGGTTCCAATCGATGCGATGCCGCACGAC